GAGAGAGAGAGAGAGAGAGAGAGAGAGAGAGAGAGAGAGAGAGAGAGAGAGAGAGGCTGAATGGCAAAATTGAAATATGGGTCAAACTGCAGCCGCGATCTATTTCACAGTTGGAATGATTTTTTAAAATTTATTGAGTGTTTTTTTCTGGAAAGATCACAACAAAATATACGAGTACTCCAATTTTCAGGTTTTTTCACGCATTCTTCAGAGCGTGAAAACTCACTGAATTTGGAGTACTTTTTAGTTGGCCCACACATGGCTGAGTGGCAAAAATGGAAAATGTGCCGAATCGGCATGACAATTATTTCTCCGTCTAAATGATTTTTTGAAAATGTTCTAATATTATTCCTGGAAAGAACACGATCTGATCTATGGATTCTCAAAATTTCAGATTTTTCTGCACGTTTGTCCGAGCACAGAAAATCGCCAAATTTGGCACTTGCAAAACGCCTGTTTCGTTGCGCCTGCCTGAGGGCCCTTTTGCAGTTCACATGCCCTCACTTCTTTTTTGGGTCTGCTTCTACCCGAGGACCGGTCCATCGCCCCCCACTTCTTTTGGGGGTCCACTTCCACCCGAGGACCCGTCCTTCCTTTCTCCAGAAGTCCCGGTTCTACCAGAGCTAGCTGTAGGTTGTCCAGAATTTTGCCCCCTAAGAACCCACTTTGCGTCCTGGTCGCCCGCCGCCAGAACTGTGACACCTTGTCACAGACGCCGAAGCCCACTATACCACAGCCTTAGGGCTGTGAACACCTCCCCTTTCTCTCTGATGGTGTGTTCTCCATCTGAAATGGGCTTCCACCGCTCTAGCAGCAGCGCTAGTGTGTGTGGTGAAATTTTGTAGCACTTACAGATAGATGCTGTCCAATGCTTCAATGTTACCCCATCCTGATCACTTGGTGAGAATCCATTAAAAAAATTCGATCAAAAATGTATTTCCCACACCTGGTTTCTCTTGTCTCTTGGGGGTTGTAATGGACTGCTTCGTATAAACCACCAGTATTCCGCCCATACATTGGCCACGGAAAATTTCGAGTAGAATCATTTCTAGTTGGATGAAGTTGGACGCTCCCTTAGTGGCCCGTCCGTTCATCATTGTCCCGACTGGTAACACACCGCGACTTTTGGAGGTACTGGTGGTCTAACTCCACAGGCCCTCAGTTGGAAGGCGGTGTACATACCAAACAAGCCATACTGAACAAGCAACTGATGACTCCACTGTTTTATGGTGACTACCGACTTCCGCCGAATGGAACATCCGCAGTGCTACCGTCTTCACCCGAATAGAACACCCGGTAATTATCGCCGTATCTGGGCTGAAAGTTGTGCCAAATACAGCTATAATGACCAGGCGGTCTCTCCGGGTGAAGACGGTAGTGCTGAGCACTGTGGCCAGCGCTGTACCTCCCCTCCTCTCCTCCCTCCCCCTCCAACCCAGCCTCCATTAGCGGTGTCTAATGGCTGACATTGTTGTTGCATAACATCCAACAATATTGGCAAGGTTCTGCGGATGCAGGCCGTTGGGGAGCAACGACTATCTCTAGATGGTAAGGCACCAAAGCACACCCAGGCACATACGCGAGGCAATGCGAATTGAACCCACGACCTCCTGATTTATATGCCTTGCCAGCTGAGCTGGGGCCATTCCACCCATGTCTTGGACATGGAAGTGTGGGGGTCACCCTTGCCCCCCAAAGCTGGATGGGAAACACGCACAATCCGCCATCCAAGGATCTCTCCAGGCAGCTCCAACCCTCCAACAGCAAAATGAGAGAGAAAAACCCTCAACCTCCGCCCCAAAAATAAGAAAGAAAAAAAAAGGAGGAGAAACAGATGAGTGGTAGTCTCGTCGATGATCACTCGTCCTACAAAAAAATGGCCCTTACCGGACGGACCAAATGACAGCCCCCTCCAGTGCTACCAGTGGTGCGGGTAAGAGCAGACACAGCTAGCACCTGGGGACAGTCTCCGACTCTCCATCTATTGGTGGGGAGCATCACCTGCTGGAAAACGGGTCCAGCGTCCCGTATACAGAATGAATATGGAGAATTGTCCGAAAAAGTATCTGAGAGATGCCCGCCGGACTTGAATACTCTAGGAGCTAGAGAATTGACTGAGCAGGTAGATGGAGAAAGGGAGAGAACCTCTACACCCTGTGTCAGGCGCAAAATACCTGCTATTGCACACTGGGTCCTTCCTCACCCAGCTATCTCTACCCACCTGTCATTCTAGTCACACCTTGCCTATTTCTACTCCTGACCAAACCATTGTACTTCTACTATTGCTGTGGCTGCGGGGGGAAACATATCTTGAAACTCCTCGGGTCTCTTCATCAGAATGTTGGGGTCGACCTGCAGCCAATCCTTGAACCTGAGTTTGTAGTCCCTGGCAAGGGCACCACCTCCTACGAAACGGAAAACAAGTTAAAAAAAACTCAATTTTAAACCACCAGTACTTCCTCAAGTCGTGCCCGTTAACGCGCCACGATTTTAGGAAACGTACGGGCAACTATAGGAGCGCTGAAATTCATCCAACTAGAAATGTTTCTACTCTATTTTTTTCTGCGGCCTATAGCTGGGCCAAGTACCGGTGGTTTAACGAAAACGCAGTTCCCAAAACCTGGGAAAAGAGAGCGACATGCTCCACAGTCAAAATAAAAGGATACCATTCATAAGGAAGCCCCAAGATCGGAAACTACCATCACCCACCCTTACGCAAGAAAGTTCACTTCAGACACTCAGCTCATTCTGCCTTGACTCCGGAACTTTGTCTTGCTGCTCTCAAGCCCACAGCCCCATATTCGTACAATGAGTGCGCCTTCATCGTGCTTGTTCTGTCCTCCTCCCTGCACAGCACAGTGGGGGAACGAACAGGTCAGACTTTGAACTGCAAGGTAGGCACTCACTGGGTGCACGGGGTCAGAGGTGGAGGGAGTCGGAGAGGGTACCCCAGCGGGGGGAGGAGTAATGAACTGTACGTCAGACTTTGAACTGCAAGGCCGATCTGTCCAAATGAATGCCTACCTACCTATCTGTGCTGATGGCGGTTGAGGTAATAAGGGCAAACTCAAACTTTTTTGCACTTATTTCTGAACGTACTTGACGGTCCGATACATCCAAGGCTGACCCTAATTGTCATCAGATACATCCAGGACTGCCGTACCTTTCCCCCCTGAACATAACGCTACATCGTCATGAACATATACAAACCCTGTTCTGGTCCAAATACAGTCATAGTGCTGGGGCATTGTGTTTGGGGGAAGAAGGTGTGAGTATGTGCTGAGTCTACTGGGGCTTGAAGAACCAAACCTACCGGGGTTTTAAACAACCCATTTCACCGTTAGGTCTGGTTCTTCAAGCCCCAGTAGACTCAGCACATACTCACACCTTCTTCCCCCAAACACAATGCCCCAGCAAGTGCTAAACCTCTAGCATGGAAAGAGTTATAGAACTATGTTGGCACCACTGGGGTTTAAACCACCAGTGCCTTTCCCCGCTTGGAAAACAAATGTGCGGCAGTTAGCACGGGGGCTGCCGTTGATAGATGTCATCAGCGGTCCGTGTTGCGTTTCGGGCCTCCAGAAGTCGCAGTGAGGGGCCTGTGGCCGATATACGGGAAAGGCACTGGTGGTTTAATGGAGAGACTACTAGGCTTGTTTAGGTTAGCTTCAACCCTTAGGCCCGACTCCTTAGTACCCAGTACTTTAAACAGCAGGTACACGGCCCCAGTCATTGATTGCTTCCTAGGGAGGAAGAATTTACCAGTAATCCACAGAAAAGGCTGTGCTTTGTCAGCGCTGTTACAAATTTCCAGAATCTCAAGTGCTTCCATTCATCATCTCACTTGATTGAGATGAGATTACACTTCCTTGCAACTCCACATAAAATCGGAATGAAATGCTATTAACTGATAGAAATTTTAATACCACTTTTTTTTATCCTGCAGGAGGAGGAGATCCTGTTTTATTTCAACATCTGTTTTGGTTCTTTGGTCGGGATGGCCACCTTAGAGAGTGATCTCTAAAGAAAAACGTTGCCGTTTGCTGGAACAACTACACGCTTATTCGTACTTGGTTTTTAAGTGCTTGCTACCAGTACTTCCTAAAGTCGCGTCGGTTAACAAGCCGCGACAATGATGAGCGAACACGCCCGTACATTGACGTGTCGATTCATCCGCGTATTCTACTCTATTTTTTCCTGCAGCCGATGTATGGGCCTGAAACGGTTTTTCACCTTAGCAGTAGCAGATGCAAATCCCAGGGTTTGATCCCTAGACCTTACCACACCCGTGTACAGTAACGATCGACCCCTGTGTGCTTGAACCCGTGCCCTGTGTTTTGGTAGTTGACTGTTGTCTGTCGTAGGTCTGTGTAGTTGTAGGGGTTCGATCTGTAGGTCTGTTGAATAGGGGGCACAGCTGTGTAAAGGTCGTAGCTGCTACAGTCCCGAAAGGCCAAGTCCACAGACTTTCGGAAGGTCCGGAAGTGGCCTTTCGAGTCTTTGCTCACATTGGACCAGATCCAAGTGGGCAAGTGGGTAGTCCAACCGTGTCAAGTCAGCAGTACCTGGTCCCAGTCACACTTTGTCCAGTCAGCAGGTACCATGTGAGATTGTGTGCACCAAGGGCCCGGTGGAAAGGAGCAGACCAGCGGCCAACAGAAGTATAAATCAAGAGGCATTGTCCAGGAATTCATTCATTCTGCTGCGAGCCAAGCGGAAGCGCTGCCAGTGCATCTTGTGCGAGGTGGTCTGCAGATGCCCGAAGTTGAAGGGGGCTGCGAGGGAGACAGAGCAGCCATAGCTGCTAGTAGTGATAGGGTTAGCGGGCAGCCATAGCTGCGCCAGGTTAGAGTAGTCACCAGTGTGTGTGTACAGTACCGAGTGAGTGTGCGTGGATATCCAGGGAGATCCAGTGTGAAGTGCGTGTGAGCAGTTGAGGTGAACACTGAGTTGGGGAAGAGTGGGCGCTCAGGCGCCATAGCCAAGTTGCAGCGAATTTGTATCTGAACTGTGTTCTCGACTTGATTATCTCTCAGCTTTGTGAGGGTGCCCAGTGCCGGTGTGTTCTGTCATCTCTTTGCATGCATGTCAAGTAAGAAGAAGCGAGTCTGATTGCAGGTCAAGTACTGGTGGTTTAAACAGTCGCATCCAAAATGGTTGATGAAACCAGGAAAAGGTGATGAAGAATTGAAGGCCCAGCCTCCCTGAGCAACATGCAACAATTGGCTCGAGAAACCATCCGTTCTCTCTCTCTCTCTCTCTTTCTCTCTCTCTCTCTCTNCTCTCTCTCTCTCTCTCTCTCTCTCTCTCTCTCTCTCTCTCTCTCTCTCTCTCCCTCTCTCCCTCTCTCTCTCTCTCTCTCTCTCTCTCTCTCTCCCCCCTTGAGTAGTGCTGAAAGTAGCACCTCTCTAGTCTCACCAAGCAGCAAAATTATGATGAATTATTTCTGAATGAGGGTTCTGCCCCAACTTGTCACTTTTGAGGAGCAGCTACTTCCCTGGGCCTGCAATGTCTGCCCACCATTCCACCTTTCAACTTTCACCTTTCATCATTAAGACAAGATGACCTTCCTGTCTTCTTCAATCATTGCAGCAATTCAAACTTCAAATCTATTCTTCTAATCATTGCATGTTTTTGCAACAACTCAGAGGTATTATTTCTTCTTCTATTATGATGACCAAGATGGGGTTGTGTGCACTGGTGCCAAGGGTTGCGGTTCTTGGTCCCTTTGGTGATGATGCGAATCCATTTTCCTGATACCTCAGGCAACAGTTGGAACTAACAGAGGGAAATCAATCTCTTGGGGCTTGATTGCATGCAGCTAACAAAGGAAATCAATCTCTTGGGGTTTCCAAAACCAGGATGCATTGTTTCAACCTCTTCATGTATCTGTGGGCTGCAAATGATCAGGGGCAATCTTGTCCGTTGGTGCAAATCCCTGACACAATGATCATTCACAATGGTCAGCCAATTGCTTGGCTCTTCACCGATCGTGCCACTGGCCTTCTTCTGAAGAAGTCTTCCCTGAAGCAGCGGGACTTTGACGCTGTCTACAAGTCTTTCTCTACAGGTATAGAGTCTATGGACCACATAACTTTTGTCATTGCCTCTAGTAGTACACACCCCTTGGCTATCTGAGTGTCACATCTTTCCTACTTGATGCTTTTTATCTACTGTCGCCTTTAATATGTTTGGAACTCAGAACTCGGAACTCGGAACTCGAGCGGAACTTGGTTGGAACTTGGAACTTGGAACTTGGAACTTGGAACTGGGAAGTGGGAACCTGGAACTGGGAAGGCCTGACCTGAAAGTGCCCTGGAATTCTGCAATTGGAAATTCAGAATGATGTTGAGGTGGATGTAAGACGGCATCCTCATAGGAACATGAGTTTGGCCTTGACAACCTTAAAAAGTGCAAGAAACTAGTGATGAGAAATCACGGAGGATGAACGTCTCACGGCTTGCCGTACCTTTTTCACTGGTTTACTTGCCCTAATGATGGATGGGGATGGTTTTTGTATTCTATTATTGTTGGTTATCCTTCCCTTTAGATTGTCATGGGTGCAAGGCTGCAAGCATTTCTGATCCTTGTCTTAGTATTTCCCCCTCTTCTCATGGCCATTGAGCTTCAATCACTCTTTTGTTGCCTCCTCCTGTAAATCCACCCTGAATAATTGTGTCCTACCAGGTTGGTTGGAAAAAGGGTTCATTTTTCATTCATAGCCTTCCAAGATCCAATCCAAATTGCTGAATCAAAAGAAATCGCTCACTCCAGGAATTGAACCCGCAACCTGCTGATCTCATATCAGAAGTTCAAAACACGTACCACAAGGCAAAGTGAGCTGGGTTGAAACTTGAAACTGAAGCCTGTTGATAAAAAAGCGGTTTGCATGCCAACCAACCTGGGTACAATTGCCCAGGAGCTCGGACGCGTGCTGTGTGAAAGCTCGTTTTCATTTTTAGCCTTCCAAGCTCCAGTCCAAATAGTCGAATCAAATGAAATCGCTCACTTTGCCTTGTGGAATGTATTCTGATTTGAGATCAGCAGGTTGTAGGTTCAATTCCTGGAGTGAGCAATTTCATTTGATTCAGCGATTTAGATTGGAGGTTTGGAAGGCTATGAATGAAATGAGTTTGCTCTCAACGCGACCTCTCAGTCTCTAATTCCTTTTCATTCCTCTCTGACCCCCCATCCACCCCCCGCCCCCACCCCCACCCCCCAATTTCGCCTACTTCATGAATCGAGTACCAACGGCTACAAGTCATGTCAGCGGTTTGCACTTCTTCATTTAATTTAGCTATCAGTTGTAATGGTTGATCGGGCTCTGCAGTGATATCTACGATCTTTGGAAACAGTGTGATAAGCTATAAGCTCTGCACCTCGCGGAAAAGCGTACCCTTCGGATCAAGACCCGAATTTGGGTTGCGTGGACGGACCTTAGTTCGTTTGAGATTATTTGGGCCCAATTTTAGAATTGCATGTAGGATAATCGTTTTGGGATGCTTGTCCTCGCAGTTCGGCAATTCAGAAGCGAGCGGCCGAATAGAGGCTGCTACCCAAAAATTGGAAAGAAACAGTTAGTTTTGGGTACTTACTTTCTTTCGCTCTTCTCCTTCTTGAAATTCGCATGCATGCGCCTGCACAGAGAGTTTGAATTTGTAATGCACGCAAGGTAGCTTCCTGCTCATGCATACGCGCCAACTTCTCTTCTTGATCCTGCTCTTCTACCTCGGCCCTCTTGTATCTCTACGCCTTCCTCCTCAATCCCAGATGGCGGATGGTTGGTCGCGTTTCGAGTCGGTTGGATCGGGCCGTAAGAGCGAAAGTTCGCGTGCGGCTCGGACGATCAACCCGACTGTCGCGAAATTGTCCATCATCCCGCCAACTGATGATCGTCATCATCTAGTGCCTTCCCATGGTCCTTCTCCGCCGCCTTCTGTGCCGACGAACCGCCACCTTCTGCGCTATAAGTTCCACAACCCTTTCCTCTCTCCCTCTTTGATCTCAGTTGCAATGTTGTGCATACTGTGCGCGAAGGCCACGGTGCTTAAAAGGCCTGGTATGCCCAAGGATCGAGTGGAGGTGACAGCATGGCGTGAGTCTAGTGGTAGGATCGGTAGATTGTAGCTGGAGCGACGGCGCAGTGGTGGAGTGAAGAGTGGATGTGAGAAAACGTGCGGGCAGATGCGAGCCAAGGTGGATGATCTTGCACGCAGCTCTGGTAATACTCATGTAGATCGCGCGGGTGTGGCGACAATCATCTTTTGGTTTCTAACTACAGTTGTCAGAGATTTTTGCTTTTATCCATTGCTGCTTGTCGTGTGTGCAAGTGCATGCTGGAAGACTGAGTCCCATGCATGGCCTTGGCTGTACATGTCGGATGTGTGCATGCTGGAAGACTGAGTCACGTGCATGGCCTTGGCTGTATGTGTCGAATGTGTGAGTGATTGCGCCACAGGGTGGATTTCAATCGTGGTTGGTTGGAATGTGTGTGATTGCCTGAATGTCTGAGGGAGTGATGCTCTCGTTACACTCCGCCTCTTGCATGAGTTGCAATGATGTGTGAATGACTCTGATGCCTCATCACGTATGTATGCATGGGTAGCAATGAATTTACGATTGTTCGACTCGGAAAACTCTCTTTCTGATCACAATTTGTGTTCAAATTTAGTTCATCTTCTTCATCTCTTTGCAAGTTTGGTTCGTGCTCGATTACGTGGGGTCTTGATTGCATCATGTTCGTGACAAGTTGTGTGCATGGAGTCAGCGTTTTGACTCTGAGTCTCAACACGAACAACTGCGCGCGCTTGACTCGTCTCGATCCGCCATAGCAGTCTTCCCGAGTTTCCCATCACAGATGAAGATTATGTCTACTGCGACGCGGATGTGGTGAGGTCGCTATTGCGAATTGACCAGGAATTTTCACTTCTACGATCCGTCCAGAGCTTGTCATTTTTGTGGGGATGGGTTTGTTCTGATAGTTTGCTTTGATGCACCCCAGCTTATTTTTCCGTACTCCGATCTGACGGTCCTGCCCTGGTTGGCTACGCACGCCACGTGGAACCCCCAGTTTAACTGTTGATGTTGAAAACGCGGTAACTACTGTCTTCCCCTGAACATAACGCACCCTGAAAATGAATGTATACGAGCTATATTTCGGGTCCAGTACAGCCAAAATGAGGGTGCGTTGTGTTTGGGAGAAGACGGTAGTGTTTGTGGCGACGGTTGGTGCTGGGTTACCAGAGAGTGGTCCGATTCCCGGAGCACGGCCGTGCTACTGGCGTCCTTCCAACGAACTTCCATGTGCCTATTCTCCCGCCCCCTCCACCGCGCGATAGCAAGGACTCTGGTTCATTGAGATGGCCCCTCTGGACGACTCCGCTCTGTTGGACTGTGTGAAGGAAACCTAACCATTTTGCTTTCTGATTCGGCATTTCATATTCTTTCTCTTTTAATGTTGCAGCCCTTTCCCCCCTCCCCCCCCCTCCAAGTCCTCCCGGGCAGGGGAGTAATTAGAAAAACGGATCTTTTTCTTGACTTCGTCTTCTCCCTGATCCATTTCGTAGGGACAACCTCTGACTGACACGGGAAATTTAGGTTTTGCCCTGGGATCTCACCCCCTTTCCCAAAATCCTCGGCCACACCCTATACTCTGATTCAGACTGATTGACATTCCTGCTATGGGTACAGAACGCGGCGCGGAGCGTGAGGTTGCGTATCACAACGACTGCAACTTTGTAGCCACCTGCCCATCACATGCCTCGCTCCACAGTAGCATTTTTATCATGATGGTTGATCAAGTGTTTTGGGCAACAATGTGCTAGCAGCAGCTTCTTTCCGTTTTCTGATACAAACAATTTTCCTGGCCATCTTTCTTTTCTGCAGACTTCTTTTTGCACCCCTCTCGTCCTCCTCTCCTATTCTCCCATCTCCAAATGGCCTTTGAATCAAATACCAACGGTCAGATATCATGACGGCGTATTTACGGATCACCAAGAAAGGATGGAGACTTGATTTAGTGATTTTTGTAGTCCATCTTCCCTCCTTTTCTATTCACGAAACCCCTCAATACCTCCTCATCTTCCTTGCCCATCACGCATTTCCCTTCTCTTCCTCTTCACCCCTTCCTCGCCAGTTTCCCCCCCTTTGTTCCTTCCTCCTCTTATGAGTACGGGTAACCTCTTTCTGAAACAAATCAGTATATACTAGTATACAGTATATACTATATATAGTTCTAGTTTCTCAGTCCTTTCTCAACACTCCTGAAGAGATCATTGCTGCTGGACAATCGAAACCGGTCAAGTAGTTCAACAGGCGCTGTCTTTTTCTGTTGGAGTTCTCACAAACTCTTGGGCTTCAATAATTATGGCAGCGCAGTCTTCTTCATTCAAGATCTTGTGCGGTTTTTGGATTTTTGCTCCTTCTCATCTACTCGAGCTCCTCTCCTATTTTTAAGTCTGCGCTTCTCACACTCCCTCTCTCTTCTTCTTCTGCTTCTTCTTCTTTTTCCTCTCTCTCTCTCTCTCTCTCTCTCTCTCTCTCTCTCTCTCTCTCTCTCTCTCTCTCTCTCTCTCTCTCTCTCTCTCTCTCTCTCT